GTGTTCGAATACTGCAAAATCAGACTAATTTGAGAAAATCTCGTCATCCGTGTTCAGATGAAAGGCTTTTCCTGACGGTTCCGCGCAGAGGGGATATAGCAGGTTATGTTTATTTCAGGGAAAGGGCAAGAACATTAAGATATTTCATCCAGTTTTCAAGATCACCAGAGACAGTTAACTTTTTCCTTCTATTGATGTTTATCGTACATGTACATATATCATCAATGGGGAGATCGACTGCTTGCTTACTTCATATGCGCAGCCTTAAATCGACTGACTTTCTTGGGCAACTGTCTTTCATCATCCAATGGGATTATACCATCGTTTTTTTCGTCCTCGCACAAAAATCCACCCTCCTGGTGAACCTTGCGATTCCGGATTTTGTAAAATTCAGTAGCTATTTCTTGTTTATGAAGTTTCTCATTTAGTTCGTAGGAATCTGGCGGTTCTGCATTTTCACGGGCTATAGTGCGCTCCACAAGTTTGTCGGCCAAGGGTTTGGGTGACTGAGAGGGAGGAGCAGACCTCTTTGAACTTGGATCCTGGTTTGGCCGTGATGGCTTTGCGGGGAACAGCGGGAGCAGTGGTTGATTGGTGGAAGGAGCTGACGGGCAGGCAGCAGGGATTGGCCACGCAGGGGGGGATTCAAAATGGGTTGGTTCCGCAGCTTTTCTCGCAGTTTTGAAGCGGGAATTTTTCTTCAATGCCGTGGCATCTTTCATAGTTTCTTCCCTCTTAACTTGCGTTCGTTCCACAACAGTGTCTCGAACAACTGGAGCTGAGGGTGGCTCTACACGGCGTTCCTTAACTGGTGTAGGAGAGGTCGGAGCAGCGGGTGGTGCAATGTCAAGCGTATCCGCAAATGTAACTTTCTTCTCTTTCTTTGCATATGTTTTATGTGCCACATATGGAGTGCCCTTATCAGACACAGGTGCATCAAGCTCGTTTCTAATCTCCGGTGGAAGATGGTCGGGATTAGGCCCGACATTCTCCAAACTCCGAGCGTTTAACTTTTTCTCTAACTCCATCATCTGGCGACGATAGTCATCGTCGATCATCTTCCGTGTAGATCGGCCATGTTCGTCTTCCTCTTCGTCATCTTCGTTATCACTCATCATATAATATTCATCTTCCACTGAGAATTCACTCCCTGACTCGTCCATCTCTAATTCAGCTACGACAGCACCAACTTCTTCAAGGCTATACTTCAGCATTTCTCTTCTTAGAGCAGCATCTTCTGGAGGCTCATCTATATCTGTTGTCAAACTCGCATCATCACTAGAAGACGCCCCAGATGCTGAAGGGTCGTTGTTGTCTTCGGATTGAGCTGTCGGTCTAGTGTAAGCCGAGGGAGCAGTAGTGCCTGTAGCAGAGCTCAATGTAGGAGTGGCTTGAGCAACTGACGCAAACGTCTCTAGTTTTTCTATTGGAGTATCCTCAGATGACAGCGTGTTTTGAGCTGGTGCCGAACTGTCAATATTCTTAGAGTTGTCTGCCTTTTGTGGTAAAATTTGTTGTCTTCTTTCAGAGTTGTCCAAGCCTGTATTCTGTTTGTCACCAATTGTGTCTTTTGCAAGATCATCCATACCCGCTTTCTTTAAAACCTCCAGTATACCAGGTGCAGCCTGGTCAGGGGTAGTCGTAGAACTCAATACGACATTACCATCTTCGTCAAGCTCTTCCACGATATCCGTTATGGGCAAACCTTCTTCGTTGATGGCGCCAGGGTGCTCGACTGTGAGCATGGCATCAAATTTCTTTTCAGAAACTAATATGCGCTTCTCTAATACCTTGATGTTTTGCTGCACGTAGTCCATTCTTCTTGATATTGCGTCCACCACTTGTTGCTTCGTTCTCGTAATGCCTTGCTTCACTCCCAGCAAAATTTTGATTTCGTTCTCGTTGACGAGAGACCCTCCAAATTCCCGTCCGATCCTGATAAAATCTTCATTTGCACAGTTTTCCTCCATTGCTGCGACGTCATGTTTTAACTCGTCGTATTCCGCGTAAGATAACCGCCAACTGTAGAGACATTCCCTAAGCTCCAAGACGCTCTCTTCGAGCTGAAGGCGCTGTCGTTCAAGGCCTGCAAGGTGATCCGACGGCTGTGTCATGTTAAAGAGGACATACAACTCGAAGGAACGTGTGTAGCGTGTAGAAAACTACGTTTCGTGGTGTGTGTTAGATTATAAACGAAGAAGAAAAGGAGGAAGAAGAATCCAACGACGTTTAAGTTTTGATGATGCAGGGAAAAAAAAGCTTCCTATTGAACTACCGGAACTAACCGCATTGGGAGCTATCTTTGACCTCCTTCGCTTAAAGCTCATGTTAAGTACATATTTCTCACAGCTTGGTCGCAGAATACATAGAAACATATATTTCAGTCTGCCAGAAATATCTAGACTTGCCTTTCTGTACCCCTTCATTCACCTGCAGCATGTCTGTCCAGTCTAATGGTGCACGTAAGGGCGGTGAAGAAGATGGTGAGCCCCTCCGACAGCAGCTTTGTAGCCTTAGAATTCATCCAGCTGGAGCTAACACGTACGACTCTGCGACTGATCCAGAGGCATGTCCCGTGTGCAAGTCATCGCGATATCTCAACCCTGATATGCGCTTTCTTATAAATCCGGAATGCTACCATAAAATGTGTGAGTCGTGCGTGGATCGTATCTTCTCGTCTGGCCCAGCCCCATGCCCTTTGGCGGGATGCCACAAAACACTCAGGAAGAACCGGTTTCGAAAACAAACCTTTGAGGATATTGGAGTAGAGAGGGAAGTCGATATTCGGAGAAGAGTCATGCAAATGTATGTTGAAATCATCTGCTGTCGTCCCTCAAAAGTCACACGCAACGCGTCGTCACATTCCCCAAAGACTCACACATGGATTTCACAGATTAAATCGTCGCGAAGATGAATTTGACAACAAACTGGTCTATGACAATTTCCTCGAACAGCGTGAGGACATAATAGCAAACCTCGTCTCCGGCATTGACGTTGCGAAAACCGAAGCCCAACTCTCCCAATATGCAGCCGCAAATGCCAAATCCATCCAGCGCAACCAAGCCCTCGAATCCCAAGAATCTGCCAACTTTCTCCAAAACCAATCCCTCGAGCAAGAGCAGGTACGACTGCGCCGCGAAGCTGCACGGCAAGATTATGACAATGAAAGACGAGCCCTCCTCTCTGGGCGAGAAACTATCCTCACACGCCTCACAACAGGAAGTTTTGAGGAAGCCGAGGCCATCGCGAACGAAGGTAAAAAGAGCATGCTCAAGAAGTCCTCCGTGCGTCGGAGCGAAGAGGAACGCCTTAAACGCAAACAAGCAGCTCTCCTTGCCGACTCCAAAGGAGCGCAGGCTCCTGCAGATTCAGTGGACAAGGGAACTGGCCAAGTATTTGATTCTGATCTTGTTAAGGGCCTGAAGAAGATCAAGACTCCTGAACCGGAAAAGCCATACGACCCCTTTGGCGGAATCAGACTCGATGGCCGCGACTACTACCAACTTCAAGATCATTACCCGTCCTCCTATCTTGACCCGATCCGGGATAATGTCCAGATGCTTGCGGGCGGTTATGACTTGAGAGAGTACTATGCGCGGTCATTACTAGAGGCGTTTGCAGGGCTGGGATGTTTTATCGATGAAGAAATATCTACGAGAAACGCTGCGGCGAATCCTTCCCCAACGGGAATGGCAGCATCTGCTGCAGCTAGGACCCCTATCACTGTTGACGACGATATGTCATGACCTCCTTTTCGCATGATCTTTGTTTATTCCCCACATTTAATTTTTAAAATTTTGCTTAGCGTAAGCAGTATTGCCTGCATAGCGACGGAGTTCCTGCAGTTTTTTCATTACATGGAGGATTGTTCTTGGATAACAAATGGCAACAGTCCAACGGGAATGGAATTCTTCTCTATACTTCAGTATGCACCCGCATACTTGAAATACAGCATGAATCCCACGTTTAAATCAAATCTCTATGGTTTTAGACCCAGGTGGTCCTCCGCTAAACCAGAGACCATCATGATTGCGATACCTTTTAAGTTTCTGGACGAGCTTTCCATATGCGAATCCGAGAAGTATCTGGTGCACTTGAAGAAATCAAAGAAAGATACCAAAAGTTGAATATCATTGCAATTAGAAAATCAAATTCTGATCTGAAAACCAACGCCAAAAACTTATATAATCCCCAGGTAATAGAGCCAATTAAAACTAAAATAACAGTGAAAAAAAGCCCGTCCCCATTGAGCTCACACGGATGCGAGATAACAAATATGACAGCGAAGAGAAGAATAACAACCCAGGGACCTACTCAACTGAACAATTGCTCAAAAAGAAGTAAGATAAAAATCGTTACTTCTTCACCAGAACAACAAACCTATGCACCTAGCACACACGATCTAGAAAAGAAAACAGTTGACCATTTCTACACTTTACCAATCACTATCTTAACAGAATACCAGAAGACACCATTGACCAAAAAAACGCCAACACAGGTTCAATCGACCAATTACAACATCAGCTCAGAGTCAGCAAAATTTTCCAATCCACAAACGCGAGAACTCAAGCGGACTTAACCCAAGAAAAACCAAGTTAGTCAAAAAACGCGAATTCGATCGCATGATGCAGAAAGATGGTAAAGGTAGCAAGGAGCTAAAGATTGTGCTTCAAACCTAATATCCAGAGACAACTATTCTAGGCCGGGGACATACACTTAAGTCAATCACTGCATGAGACAAAAGTCAGTCTGAAACCCGGGGCCAAAGAGAGATGCAAGGGAGGATCTGGCTGAATCGATTTCTTGTGGAGCATTGGGTATCATCATTGTATGCAGGTTGTGAGAAATGAATATCGAACGTTGAAGAACCCTGAAGAGAAGAAAAGTGGACGGATGAAAACGTCAATGCGAACCACATGCTAAACAAAAGCACCAAAGATGGCAAATGCAAAAGGCCTAGCAGGGCTGTAGACAATCAAAATCTTTTTCGACAAGTCAAGCTAGGAGCTTTTTGTCAGCTTCTTGGAAAAATTCCGCCCCGTAAGATCGCCAGTGCTTTCAAACCCTTCCCAAGGTGGGTCGTCGTAATCGCTGTCACCGTCGCTGTTTGCACCCCCGGTAACGCCTTTCCCCTCATAACCGTCATGGCCAAGACGTTCGGTAAGAACACCGCCGTCTTTTCCACCAAGTCCAATCGATTGCAAAGTAACATCTACTTCCTGTTGTGTCATCTCATGGCCATCCTCCTTCTGACCCTCGAGAACATCATACAAAGCATATATCTGATCAGATTTTGTATCAATTTCTCTCAGAAGGAATTCAAATTTACGGAGTATGGACTTCCGTTGTTTTTTGCCAAGAGATGCGTCGTGTTTGTTCAGTGCCGTTTGTTGCAAAACAAGTTGCATTTTTAGGTGGGCCAACTCGTCCTCCAATGCCTTCAAAACTGTTGCAAGAGCCAGAGCTGGTTGCTGTGACGGGCGGAGAGTCGGCTCTTCAATATACGGGGATGGCTCTGGCGCGCGACAGGACACAGGTACTGGTTTTGTGACTTTAAAAGAGACCTGCCCTTCTCTGTTGCTGAGGCCATGTATGCAATTCTTGTCGATAACGTTTTTGCAAACAGAACAGTTTTTCCCATCATGTTTCGCTACCTCATTTAAAACACGCTGAGCAGCTGCGGATAACTTGGGTGGCTCTCCAGATTTTCCGGAAATTGCATGCAACGTGATATCAGGGAGAATAAATGCCGATGTCATCTCCTCCGTCTTATTTAACCTACGTCGTGGACCAGCTGTGGATGTGGAATGGTTAGTGAGGTTGTGCTGCGATAAATCGCGGGTATTTGCAACTGATCTATGTTCCGTTCCGGTAAAATCTTGCGCTTCAAGTATTACGGGGCGCGATGCCTTGGATGAAGTGTTTTTTAAAGATGACTTAAGCAGTGTGCTATGTGTAGCGCTCCCTAAGAATCGTGTCCCAAAATTGCCAGTTTTGGTTTGCTCAGTCAATTCCCGGCTGAGGCAGGTTTTGCGAGCCACCCTTTCCTCCTCCAGTGTTTTGCGAAGTTTAGCTATCTCGTTGGCCTAGATTAATTGCTATTAGCCAGTCTTCACATACGAGTGAAAAGGAGAAATCTTACATCAATAAAGCTTAAGAATGTCAAATCATTTGTCAGTCCAGTCCGATTGCGGGAGCCTCGAGTTTCCGTACCCATCTCTTCCTCGGAAAGATCGGAATCTTCCATGTCCTCAACAACAGCTTTCTTAGTGCGCAGTTTACTAGTGTTGGGGAGTTTCTTTTGGGCAGTATTTGCTTGCGTCTTTGTATGTTTTGTAGATTGCTGAACTGAAAGTTGAGATAAGTCGAGAGAAAAGAGGGAGTCATACTCCGCTTGCTTCTGCTGCTTGGAAGTAGCCACTTTGACTGCAGAGGGCACGCGCGATTGTGAACGATCCTGTTGTGTTCTATTAGAGTTCCGTCGACGGGTGTCGAAACCAATTTGTTCATTTGATCCATTCGCATCGGGATCTTCGGCATGTTTAGTCCTGATTCGATGTGGTTTCGTTGCTTTGGTTGGGTCCAGGGTTGTCGTTTCTCGGCGTTTCGTTGTGGAGTCGCACATCTCTATAGGTTTACTATCATTCGCTTCCTTTGGGAACCCATTCAACGACTCAATCTGGATCCTCATTTCATCGTTCTCCTGTGCCAACGCATCATTTTCCAATTTGAGTTCCTCTAAATTAAGATAGGCAACGCCCAACTGAGTCCGGGCGGAATCTCGTTCTTGCGTCAAGTGCTTAATCGTTGTCTCATGGCTTGAATTTTTGCGGATGGAGACATCCAACCGATTTTGAAGTGCCAAATTTGCCGCTTCTAATCCTAGAGAATGGAGGTTAAAATTCATACCATCTACAGGAATGCCAATATACTCACTGTTCTTTTGGATGAAGAGTTTGCCAACCCCTCCATTGTTAATATCTTCATCGCCACCATACATACTAACGCGTTTTTTGTCTTGCTTTCGAAGTCGCGCATTTTCGTTTCTCAGAATTAAAATTTCCTCCTCCATTTCCTCGAGCCTAATTTCCATGTCGGATTTGTCTGTTTGCAATGCTTGAACTTTCTCTTGAAGCAATTTCAATGAAACAAAAATAGCCTTTTCGTCATCCGGAACTGGAATGGAATCAAGGGGTAGGTGTTCAGGGGGTTTAGAAGTAGAAACTCCCATGGCGGGAGGCGAGGTGAAACGCGTTGTTCGCGATCGTCCCTTCGGGGTTCCATTCTCATAGATTCCCGAGACGAGTTCAGAGAGATCAGGGATGTCAGGAAGCGCATATGATTGGTATGTGGGATTGTCTGTGGTTCCATTGCTGTCAGTGGTTTTCGGTGGCAGCTGTTTTCTTAATTGTGTCTGCTCCACGTCTCCAGCATTGTAATGTTTGAGATAATTTTTCCCGGAAGCTTTGTTTCCTGCGTCCGCGAACCTGGCACTTTGGTCATTTGTTCGCCTGTTGCTGAAACGCGTATTTCGGGTGGTGATTGTCACCTTTGCAGGTCGTTCGTCGCTGATGTATGATCCATCATACGTCTCGTTAACTTTCGCATGAATTTCAGATAAAGTGCGGCGTTGGCTTCCGCTTTTGAGCTTTATATCTTTAGGCGGGTTGCTATCCTTCATGGCGAGGCTGGCGCGTCGTATCTGAGCGTCTTTGCGAAGGCTATCTCTTCCAGTCGAAGCTCGATTGGTAATTGGGAGCAAGGGAGCCCTTGGGGTGCGGCTTCCGAAACGACCTTCCCTACCCGCTGGTGATGCAGAGTATTTACTCCCATCTACACTCATGACTGAATCTCGCGAATCATCCAACTGTTGGGATGTCTTCTTTGCTGCCCTTCCCATCTCGACCGAAAGGTCACCCTCCTCCTCCTCCGAGCTGGATGCGTCAGAAAAGTCTGGGAAAGCTCTGTGAAGAGCAGATGTGTTGATGACGAAGTCAGGATCTGATTCTTGTTCCGCGTGCGCGTCGTACCATTTTGCACGTTTTGACTGAGGCTGGAGGTGGTCGTTGTCCAGTTGCCTTGTGGAAACTAGAGCCTCGTGATCCGGGTCAAAATCGGACGTCGTCGCTTCTCGCGAGGCGTGACTGCGGGCCATCACATCGGAGGTATTTGTGTGGTCATTTGGAAACATCTGGCTGGTATTCTAAATTACGCGTAAAAACTCTGGATATTGGCAAACAATTAACAACTGCCGCTAGCGCAGAAACATAAAGATCTTGGAAGAGACACGGAAAAGCAGTACATTATATGCTGGTGGTGGGGTTTGGGTAGGTACCTTTTCTGGCGGGATGCTCAGTCGCGTCGGGTTTGATTGTTTTGGCGACCGGAAAACTCAAATGAAAAGAATGAGGACATGAATTGATACTGAAAGGTTAAAAAGGGAAAAGAAAAACCAACGACTCCTGATAAATAAAACCTTGGAAAGAACTGCAATGTTAGGACAGCCCAATGGCTAATACGTCGGGTGGTTGTCGTGTTGAAGAATCGCTCGCAGACGAGTCCGGAGTTTGGAGGTTGGATGTTTATTTCCTTTTGGGGAGGTTTGTTTACTGCTTGGGAGTGACAGAATCGCTAGTCTAGTTTGGGGATAGCGTGTCGAGAGCTCCAAACCTCGGCAAAATAAACATCCGTAGAGAAGATCTGTGCATCAACAACTCGACAGCATTCAACAACTGAAAAACATCGAGTTATGCCCTTTTATTTAAAACATTTTAACGCTCGACATTTTCCAAGGTCATGTTTGCATGCGTTTGTGTGCCAACGAAAAAGGGCACCTGGAAAACAAAGTCTGCACTCTTACTCCTATGATCTTCAACTCCTCAGTCATTCTGAGCTTTTAAAGGTTTGCCATAATGAACAATACCACATTATTGAAATCCGATATGACAACAACAAGCAGAGGACAATTATGCACTATTTGTTTTCCGTATATTTTAAACTACTTATATTTGGGATGTGATTGTATACCTGCTGTTTGTAGTCATGTAACTAGGGTTGAAAAAGGTACATAACTAACCTAGTGGAACTACCGGGATTTTTGAGCCTGCTAAGGCTATTCATGTCTTCCGCAAGCCGTTTCTCTCCTGTTCCAACCTTCTTCTTCTCAAATGCCTTGGAATACGCTTGAAGTTCTGTTTTTTTTTTTTTTTTTTTTTTTTTTTTTTTTTTTTTTCAATGTGAGTCAACCCTTCGGTGCTTCGTGGTCGCTCCATCAGCCTCTTTCTCCATCGACGGTCATGTCAATGATGTCACAGTCCCAACTGAACAAAACCCAACAAGGCGCCCAACGACGGGCAGGACGCAATTTCTTCCTGTATACTCGCACAGCTTACATTCTACCGTCGCTCTCCTGCCAGGGCGCAAGCGCGAATCCTCGTCCAGGTCCAACCCTGTGATCTCCGGTTGCAGCCTCCTGACCAGCTGCAATCGGGAGGGATGCCCCGGCCACGATTACTGATATCTCTATGTATCACTTTCCATGAGCCATTGGACCCCTGTTTGTATGTCAGAATGAAAGCCGACAGTTCGACTTTTGTGTAAGACATATGGATTTGAGGGTGACGGCTTTTCCCTATGGTTCTACATTACACTGTTCGATCTAACAAAGAATAAGGGATTTAGCTCTATGGATCAGAAATCCTTCAAAGAATCTATCCCCACATATCACACGGGGGGTAGTGTCGGAGGCAGCTTTTCTACCCGCCTAAAAAATCTTGAAGAAACCCTAGGTACATGGCAGAAATATTTTAAGACCATCTTTTCAATCCAAATCGCCAAACCGTTAACGATGAAGCAGGTTCATTTTTTGACCCAGCTACTACATCATACCTGAACGCCAAAGGACACCGTGAAATCACCCTCCCATGTCTTTTCTTTATTTGAAGGAATTCGATATTGCTGGCAAGTATGACGTGGACCCTCTGGAGAAGTTTGCAAAGCTATCCTTTCCAGGCAAGGATATTTGCCCACCTATAGATGACTTCTGCTTCGTGATTTCGAAGCTCTACAGTTCGGATCGACCGGGTCATTCGGAATTTCGCAACATCGTTGGCCACATTTCCCTTCGGCACATGAAAGATCTCGTCCAAGGACGAAATTTTGTACGGGTGCTTGATGATGTTGCCGGGTTTGGGAAGTATCTTCTTTTACTTTTGATTAAAGAACACAAGGTGGCATACTTTCGTGCGATATGTAGAAGCTGTCGAGCGAGGCCACTCCTGCCTGCCCAACCTTTCTGCCCCTGCTATGGTGAGAGGTTCTGGTACCGGGATTGATATTTCGTATATGTCATATGTGGTTTCTAATCGTACCGTGCGGTCAGAACCTAGGTACCTAGCTGGTTAGCCGGAATATATTCGCCTCCCCGTTGAATGTGGACAAGATAGTAGATGAAGATGCTAGCAGCGTTGCAAATTTATTCATATTCAAGCGATTGCTGGTAGCCCAAACGTATGTGAAGATGTCGATTGATATCAATTATATACATCCATCCCTCTGGACAGACAGGGGTGAAGAGGATGAATATAGCGGCGGATTGGGTCATTCCACATCGCCTGAAGTTCAGATCATGAATTGACTAAGGTCATATTTTGACAATGTTGGTAATTGGACACTAGAAAGATGCTCTCTACGGAAAGTGATGGAAATGCGTAAAGAGACCACTATCTTCGTCGAGTCCAAGATGATGGAAGTCAAATGTAAAATTCCTTTGGCGGACCAAATCTCGGCAAATGAGTGATTAAACTCCGCATTTTCACGCTTCAATCACGCTCTTTTACAACTTTAAATTTCTATGCCGACCCTTTTTTTTAACTGCTGTTGATCCGATTTTTACGTTCACATCTTTACTTATATGAGCGATAACAATTGCCATTGCAATAATAGCAGATACATGTGCCTAATGCCCCACCAAACTACCTACATTAGGTAGATTCTTTTAAATTACCTATATGATTGATACGCTCTCTTCTTCTTTGCGCTTTTTGCGTCTGCTCGCAGGGAATCCCCTCTTTTCGGCACCCTTCTGTGGGAATATGGGGAAAGTTGTATAACCAGCTGCTTGCTACCCCTCAACCCCCAAGTTGAGGACGGTTTTTTTCTCTGTCGTTATCAATTTATTTGATATATTCCTCCTTTCGTCTTTCTTTTATGCGTGATATGCTCACTCAAGTTATCATCATCCTTAATCTTCCTATTCGTAAAAGCACCAGCCCCGAACACCTTACGGTGGCTGTGAGATCATGCGATCTAAATGTCTAATATAATAGCGATAGCACTTCCTGTTCTGATAACTATACAAGCTCTCCCTCTTGCGGGATAAAGCCTCCAGAACACCTCAATTTCCCCATTACAGCTCCACAGTCCCGATATCAAAAGCCATGGCCACCCTCAAAATTCTAATACCCTCCTGGCCCCAGATAGCCATCTCATATCCCCCCGGCCTAATCGAAGTCGCTACCACAATCCTCTGCCAAATTTTAGGCTTCTGGCTCCCCTGCATTCTCTACCTCCTCATCGACCTAGCCTTCCCGACCTTCTCCAACAAACACAAAACTCCAATCCGCCCGCCGCCAACCCACCTGGGCCGCCATCACCACTGCTTCCGCCGCGTCTTCACCACAAACCTTCTCTCCACCCTCCTCCACATCGCCCTCAACTCCTCCACAAACTTCCAATACTCTTTCTTCACAATCACGCCAACATACCCGACAGCCCGCGAACTCGCCACAGATTTCATATACGCCTCGCTCCTCCGCGAACTGCTCTTCTACACCGTCCACCGCACCCTGCACCACCCAAAGCTCTACCCGCGCTTCCACAAGCAGCATCACACCTTTACTGCGCCCATGGCCTTTGCTGCGCAGTATGCGCACCCTCTCGAACACTTGCTGGCCAACGCGATACCCGTCGTGCTGCCTCTGGCGCTGCGGTGCGTGCATGTCTTGTCATTTGCGCTCTTCCTGACGTCGATGCTGGCGGAGACCGCCAGCGTGCATAGTGGGTATGACTTTGCGGGTGCGCGCAAGCATGATTTACACCATGAGAAATTTCGGGTAAATTATGGGGTGATTGGATTGCTGGACTGGGTTCTTGGGACGGATGTAGAAGGGTGAGATTAGCAAGAGCAAGGAAGGGGAATTGGTGTTCTTTGGATTCTGAAAATTTGGAATGTTCGGTTTGAAATGACTGAGTTGTCACCGTTGTTGGTGGGAATATGGAGTGATGGGTTCTAGAGGGCAATGGGTGGGTGCTGTCGTTGTTGGACATAAGCATTTGTTCATGTTCTTCAGATTATGGGCTTGAGTACTATCGCCTTGGATAAGCGAATACAACACCCGTCATGAAACTGCCTATTACATTGGAATCTCGTGTGACAATATTTATGATGATATATGAGTATAACCGCTGAACATGTGTCCTTTTATGGGAAGATGACCCATAAGAGGCCTGGTCAGGTGATGTATGGGTTCAAGGTGATAGCCGTGGATTGAAGTCAGTGAAGATGGATAATTCCCCAAAGGTGATCAGTGTGTGCATTCAAGGGAATGACAATCAAAATATATGCTCAACTCTTATCAATTCAATGAAGTGCGCATATAGAAGGTGAGAATAGAGTATAAGTTATGTAAGAAGAGAAATTTCATTGACTTCAAATGATGAAACAATTACTCAGAATATAAAATAAATATATCAATTCATCCGGTTCATAAGGGGTTTTTTGCTTCAATCAGACACACACAAGGGTAAGAGCAATGTTCAAATCTCATATGTACTGCATTTCATATACAGACGTTTTGAATACAAAGTGGGGAAAGGAGATAAGAGTCCTCGCAGAATATTGGCCCTGATCTACACATACACACACATTAGTACTATTTGAAGCGAATTTCCCCAGGGCACGAAATCCAATATTCAAAACCTTGGCTCACGCCCTCGAGTTGTCTCCGATAGCGCCTCCCACCCCGCAACTCATTGCAGAATATTTCCTCTTCACTTTTATTACCAAGCAGTATATCAAAGCAAGAAGGCGGAATGGTAAATTCCAGCATCTCCAGAGTCGACGCCCTCAGTTTTGCAAAATCGTCCACGGCTCCGAGCCACGCTTTTTCCCAACTCCCAGATTTATCGTTCACAATCATCTGCGGTAGGAATTCTGTAAAGAGACGGAACACCTTTACTTGAGGGAGATGAAACAACGCGTCGATAGTTGCGTGAATCGTGTCTCCGACTAAAGTATCCGTGACACTTAGGTGGAATTGAGCGATGTTCGGTAAGTGCAGCTCGACGAAAGTGAGGGATTTGAAACGCCTTGGTGCAAAGCTGGGTGCAGCAAGGGACAGGGCGGAGTCTTTCGCGAAAGTAAAAATGTTTTTGGTGTATAGGATCGGGATACCTTCGGAATATCTGGGCAAGAAGGGGTTTTGGAAACGGATATATCAATGCCCATACATTCTGCGGAAGATCCCACTCGGAGGGCAGAGCATAGGGGAAAACTCACATCCTTCTACATGTTCTTAAAATCTCTAAGCTTAGACTCTCCTCTGCCCCATGGCCGCAACGGCAATGAATAGATTTATTTTTTCGCTGATTGTTGGAGTAGGGTTCATCCCGGAATATCTCTTCACGGTTTGAACCCTGCAGGCACGATTTGAGGAGTTTAAACTTATTAGGGATCACTGAAATAACAATTCAATTAATCACAAATCGAAGCGCCATGCCTAGGGAACTAGAATTCGGGCTTCATAGTCTTACCATACAGATGAAGCACTCGATTGCCAAGCAACGCTTCAAATATCAAGACGCGGATTTCAGGAGGAAGCTTGGCATACAGGATACACAGCGATTGGGGCTCGGTCAATGCCCAGGGGTTGGAAAAAGGCGAGTCGACCCAGTCTGGTAGTGGATGAGTGATACGGCGGCGTCGACAAGACGGGAGACGCGGTGTTGGTGGTGGTGACTTGTCGGATCGATTGTAGCAGTAGAGATGGGTGTTTAGCGGAGCCTCGGGTGGAAAGGTGTAGTAAGGGTTGGGCATTGCGAGATTTAGGTTTGTCGCCGGCTCTTATGAGTTATGTTCAGGGAGTGAGAGCTCACTCATTCCACGAGGGTTTGTCACTACCAGAGGGATCGGTATTTGGCAATATTGTTGCGATTGTCATGACGAAGTGAATATCAAGTTAACCGACATCGAGCACCAGGTCCGGCACATGCTGGTTGTTAAAGCGGTGTGGAGTGCTATAAGGAGACCTAATAAGGGGCTAGTTGAATTAGTTATTAGTGATAACTAACTAGTTAACTAGGTCGGGTATTACGTAATTTGAGATGGGCAGCCCGCATCTCGGCTCGCAAAATTCAATAAGATATCAACAAGAAATCCAACGTAAGAGGTGTAAATAGGTAGTAACCTAGAAAATGCCACCGAGAAAGCCAGATGCATAAATCAAACCGCAATATCGAATTCATATGTATGTAGATGTGTATGTATAGCCAAATCACCAAACGTGGAGCGAAACCAATTCGAAACTCCATGTTTTATCTAAATTTTTATTCCGAATCCTCAATAACTGAATAAATGAATGCATAGGTATAAACTTATGTTTAGAAAGTAAATCCTTGCGTCTGCCGGGTGGGGGAGTATGCATATAAATACTGTTGAGAAGCAAATATATGGCCACCTTCGTTCGGGCAGAGGCGTAGGTGCGACACGATCGTTGACCGCAGTAGGCCGCCTTGTAAATGTGTTTTGGATAGAAGGTGCAACGGTCTAAGACGTTTCATCCCACCAGTTTTCCTCGATGAACATCATTCAGGGGAGTGAATACAGGCGAGAAACGATACAAAATTTCAGCTTTGTCGGGAGCCGGAGATTAGACGAAAATATTAATATAGGATCGAAAAAGTTGAAATTAGTCATAAAGGTCTTTTAATCGGATAAAAATGAATATGGGAGAACGCCCGTCCTACCTAGGACGGTGAAGTAAAGGGCCCAAAAAGCTGCAGATAACTGCTAGGAAGATAGATTACAGCATGTTATGAAGCTTTTCCTCATAACTGACGAGGCATAGGAGACACCGGGGTAACAGGGGCACTGTTTCCGGGAGTCGGGACTTCTATTTCGATACTAGGCACTGCTGTAATTTCAGGAGGTTGGAGGCCCTGCTCCCTTTCAGCAACCGGACTCTGATATGGCGGGGCCTCCCCCCAATCTAATTGATCATACTGTGGAGGGTTTGGAATATTCGAGTTGTCAATATCTGTTTCAGCTGGAGTTATAGATCCTCGGGGTGTATCGTGGTCGGATTGGTTGGTTGGGTTCAAAAATAGAGAGGAGCCCGAAGTTGCGCGCTGACGACCTTCAGCCAATCTTGGTAGTGAAGTGCTTCCATCGCTTCCCATACTGGACGCAGCGTCAAGGAGCGGTCTTGAGTCTGACTCCTGGGAACTGGCACGCAATCGGGTGCCATCATGTCGAACATCGCCCACATCCGCATACGTAACACGTGCCACCCGCTTCTCTCTACCACGAGACTGATGTTCAGCTATCAGAGTTGCTGCGCTAATACTGGTATTGCTGCCATTGTCACTTTGATTTTCTTCCAGATTTGGAGTTCGACTCTCACGCTGTATCTCCTCCAATCGCGCCCAATCACCACGTTCTCGAGCTTCCCTCCGTTCCAGTCTTCGCCGTTCCCGCTCAGCGACTTCTTGTCTTCTTGCCAATCGGATTTGGTATAACGACTCCATCTCCTCTTCCCTTCGAGCCTCTTCCTCATCAGCTGTTTCTGGGAACTCCATCACAACATCCATCCCACCACGCTCGCCTTCCCTCCCAACTATTTGCTCTGTCGGTTTCGGGATTGGTGAGTATGAGGGTAACGTCATTACTGATTGAATGGAGGTTCTGCGGTCAAGACTGAGGTCGCCAGCACCAGTATAAGCGGTATTACCTGACCAGTTAGCCCCAGCCTGCCGCGTTGCTGGAATGGCATCCGGAACGTGGCCGTATGCGGTTTTTGGTGACCAATTTCTCCATTTTTTCTTTAGATACTTCGTCGGTATGAATTTGGGTTCTGAATTTCGAAATCGGAGGGTCCGGAGGCCATAGTAGAGGCTTAGACAGACAATGATAACACCAAGGAGCGCAATGGAAACCTGTAGAAATTGTCAGTTGAAACTCCACCACGCCTCAAAGTTATGTTCGAGCATGTGTGGCCACACAGAACTTACAACAATGAAAATTCTTCTTGAAGGGTTGTCCTCTGCCTGATCATTCTCTGCCCGCTTGTGGAAATGGTTGCGATAGCTGTAGAGCTGAGGTAGAAACATGGTGATATCGAGATAAATTTACGGGGGCACTATTTCGAGGCAGGGGCAGGCAAGCGTCGCTTCACATAGACAACATGACATCAGGACAATGAGAGGAAACTAAATCAGAAAAGTGACACAGTTTGCCAGAGAACGACTGTCAACGATCAATCTTCTGTCTGTCTGAGGAGCAAGAGGAGTTAGCGCCCTGTGGCTGTGTTTGTGTACACGGACATGGAGTAGGGCTGGTAGTGCGTAATCTGATCCCTGAAATGTGAAGGATAAAAATCGCCGGATTCTGCTCGTCCGTTCGAAGGATAACGGGAAGTTGGGGAACGAAAGATGACAGCGTAAAATAAGCGAAAGATATGGCAATGGGGAATGATGGGATAGCAGTTCCTAAATAAGAAAACGAAGGACGGAGGTTGAAGTTGGGAGTGGGAGGGATGGTTGGAGATTCGGAGTTTGAATGTCGGTGGTTTGCGAGCGGTGGTTGATGGGCGTAACAAAACAGAAGTTGCAGCTTCACACCATTTTAGTAATTAATGTAATAAATAACTAATCAGTTAGTTTAACTAACTAGTTACCAGTTGATTGGGAACCGGAGGACATATATACTTGGGTGAAGCTCCGCAGTCCTTCACGGCATCTCTATTAAACATCTAACACACAGATTGAAGGGTTTGGATGGAGCTGCTGTGTGAGTTGTTGTTAAACGTGACCACCTTGCTTCTATCTATCCTCTACTCGATTAATTATCTTTCCTGTGCAGCGGAATGACGGTGAACTGCAGCAGTGGTGGACTTCAACTACCTACCTAAAACGACTTTTATGTTTTTATGAAATATTATATGTAAAATGCTATAGGGGACTTGAGGTTCTCGACACGGAATGCCCGACACCGGTTCCCAGCCATCCTATGCACATATTCCGCATTAATCTGGGCGTTCGCCCGCCGCCTCCCTTCACCCGTGTGGCGATTCGATCTCTTCAACTTTCACGACGTGAAAAATATGGTTTGCGTTGACAGTAGTGGTGGTCCTGCCCGTCATAACAAGTAATGTAAATACTAACATCGTCTCAACTTCTCTCTAATAACCCGATAACTACGGGAGAGGGGAGATTTTTGGGAAATACACAGGTATTTAAATAATATATGCCATGCAATGCGATGAGGGTTACCGACTTTCATGTGTATGGATGTATGTACGGAGCGTGAACTAGAACAATGAAGAGAGAGAAGAAAAGATACTTCGATGTTGGGGTAAATTCTGTACGGTTTAATTTTGCAGATCAACAAACAAAAGGGGGAAGAAAAGAAGAAAAACATATTCGGCATTAAGTAGTCATACAATCATTTAACGCTTTTCTTTTAAAGCAGAAGGATAACAAGGATCAAAAGTGAACACTGTCAATCCACACTCCCCTCGGCTGTGACCAGCTTCCTTAACCTCCCTCCCGGCTTCGTTATTAATTCCATATATGAACCTTCCTCAACTACACGGCCCCCATCCACCACCACAATTTTATCCGCAATTTCCATCATCTCGACCGCGTGCGTGATAATAATCACAGCTAGCTGCTGGGCACCTGGTATCATGAGGCTCTTAACCGTGCGACGAATCTGTTCCGCGCTATGAGCATCTAGATTCGACGTGGCCTCATCGAGGATGAGGATACGCGGCTTCCGCACCAAGGCACGCGCGATAACAAGGCGTTGCGCTTGGCCGCCAGACATGGAAAGCCCCCCATCACCAATTATAGTGTCGTAACCCTCCGGGAGGGAGGAGCTGAATTCGTCAATCCCGGCTGCCAGCGCGGCGCAACGGATGGCTTCTATCGTGTTGAGCGGGGAGGCTGGGTCGAGGCCATAGCTGATGTTGGCTTTAATTGAGGACGGGAAGAGAGTGGGTTGTTGAGGAACGATGGAAACTAGAGAGCGGAGGCTTGGAGTGTGGATATTTCGGATATCATACCCTCCGAGGGATATTGTGTTGGAGGGATAGTCCAATGACGACCTTATGGTCATTTTGTTGGCGGGGTATAGAGCGGTAAGAAGGGAGGCAATAGTCGACTTCCCAGATCCAGAGGGGCCGACGATTGCTGTACAGGTGTTTCCTGGGATTGCGAGATTTAGATTTCGAAGTACCTGTTTCTTAGGGCGTGACGGGTAGTTGAAGTTCACATTTGCGAACTCCAATGGCGTTGGGTTGGATATTTTTAGTTTCCCTTCATCCTCGTGTGAACTACCTTCCGGGAGCGTTGCTAATCGCAATAACCTTGAAGCAGTATCCCGAGATGAACTTATTTGAGGAACTGAAATTTCAGTCAGTACGGTTCAAAGTTGTTATGGAAACCGGGCGTTCGGACTGGCATACCAAATTCTAACGCGGCGTTAACGTTCCCTAAGCTGAATAGGAGGATCGAGAAAACCGTCAGAATGTCCCTTATCGAATATTCAAGAGATGATGCAAGGACTGCGCCAAAATAAAAAACAAGGGCTATGTTCCATGTTAGTCTAAACATACAAGTTAACATCTATCACCGCCGTTGGGACATACTGTAAACAAAAATGATTGATGAGCTGGATAACCCAAAGAAAAATCCCGAAAAACAGGCTCGTTTGAAGCCCTGTCGGAGGGTCTTCATATTCACCACATCAAGCTTCTTATGGAAGTGAGCCTCAAGCGTCAAGGCGCGGACGGTTTTAATATCGAGAAACGTTTCGGAGAAAATATCCCCAACCACCTCACTGGCATCGTTGCATCTCTTTTCCCAGATGCCGCTCACACGTTCGAAGGTTCTTGTTATGGAGTAGACAACTGGAGCACACGCAAGCCCAACCAGAGTCAACTTCCAACACACATCGATTCCCCAAACGAAACACATAATCATTATCACCGCTGCAACAAAAAGAAACCCAGCAAACCGCCCCACCAAGTTCCTCATTTCCTCAGCGTTGCGGTCCAGACACATCGTCAAATTAGATGTTTTGTTCTCTTCCCTTTCGAACCATTCCTTTGGCTGAGATAGGATACGTCTCACTGCCTCGTTACGGAGAGAGTTAACCCAAGCTTGTCCGCAGCATTCAAGAAGAAAATGCATAGTGAACGAAGCTGCTGCATTCGCGACGGAAACTCCAATGATTGCCACTGACCATTGGAGGGCCATATGTGAACGATTTCCGGGTAGAAAAAATGCTCCTAAAAGCTGCGCAAATAGAAAGCCAAAAGCAGGGGTGGCAGCGGCATGGACAAGTGCCGCTACAAATCCCACAAGTAGTAAAATCTTATAGCGCACGGTTAAGCGTGGAATAACAGTGAGAAGGATTCCCACGATTGATAAGTGAGGGAGTTTCCCCTTATGGGGACCTTCTTCGTCTCCTGGTCTGTCAGTTAGTTCAACATCTCGAAGCACGTTGTCCGTGAAACCCAAACCTGAAGAGCATGATGAAGACGGCATAAGATCCAGTTCGAATTTAGCGTCACACTCGCGAGAAAAATCTCTCAGTTCAATACCTGCAACGGATGGCATCTGACGGTTATATTGACGAATTTGTTCGGAAGAATCGCTTCGAGATGATAACGGCCTGAATACATCTTCGGTATGAACCATTGGTTGAAAAGAGAGTGTGTTGCGAAAGCCTGGAGAAATTGGAGACAAAGTTAATGATTGGAAGGTTCGACTCCTCTCTGTACTAGGCGGAGGGTGTAGTGGTTTGGCAGACGTTCCGAAAGTGACCCCGCTTCCCATCTCCTGAGTATTTTGTCTTGGGATATTATCGGATTTTTCTTCCTGGCGATGGGATCGTTCATTCTCTAATCCGAACACGACTGACAGTGCAGACCCGGGTGTATTTGTTGCTTCTTGTTCTAGAGCGTGCCTGTAGCCTTTTCGAACGACTTCGCCCCCTTGCAGCACATATATAAAGTCCTGATTATTGATCTGGGATATATCATGCGTGATTATAATAGTGGTTTTGCTCTTTCGCCAGGTTCGAATGGCTTCCATCACTGTAGATCGACTAGTTAAATCCAGCGCGCTTGTCGATTCATCGAGGATCAAAATAGGGGTATCTCTGAGGCGTGAACGAGCAATCGCAACTCTTTGGCGCTGTCCACCACTAAACGCACTCCCACCAACACCGACCACTGTATCAAGGCCATCTGGTAGGGCTCGGACCGTCTCATCGAGGGAGGCAAAACGGAGGCTGGTTACAATTTGGTCCTCAGTAATATTTTGGTGGTCTTTGGAGCCGAAAGCAATATTGTTAAATATTGTTTCATTGAATAGGAAGCTCTGCTGCTGTACTAATGTGATGTTGTTCCGGATCCAGTCAATACTCAACTTTTGAATTGGTGTGCCGTCAATTAAAATATCTCCAGCTGCAGGGATATAGAATCGCATGAGAAGATTCGCAAGTGTGCTTTTCCCTGACCCGCTTTGTCCAACCACAAACGTTATATCGCCTGCTGGGAAAAAGAACGATGAATTTTTTAGCACGTAGCAGTCGGGGCGAGATGGGTATGCGAAAGTAACCTAGAAGTATATATTACTTTTTCTCCTTGGAGGGTCAAGTTCAAAAGAATGTGATTTTTGACTCACGTTTTTTATCCGTATATCTCCCTCACAAAATCGAGGCGACAGTGATACAAATGTATCTATTGCCGGCTTGGGATGACTTTCCCTCGCCACAATTTGTTGCAGCGCTGAAGCTGAAGCACGCCCTTTTTCAAGAACAATAATGTGTGGCAAAATTTCTTCAATTGCCTGGGTAGACTGAAGACATGCCCAAAATGCTGTCAAGACATCTGCGGGGTTTAAATCACCAGCTCCAACCAGGGAACTTCCGTACCAGAAGCCTTGGACAAACATTACAAATATCATTAGACGTATGCAGCTAATCTGGAGTGCTTGGCCAAGTGCTTCATTTCTATACCAGCGTGAAGCTGATAGAATGCCAGCAGAATATTGTTCAGCCTCAAACCTTTGTCCATTAAAGCACTTGACTGCATCGATGC